CAAGGCATCCAATGGCTATGATGCCTGGAGGCCCTGGGCTGCTGTATCAGGTGAAAAATCCCAGATTCCATTTCAAGCATCTGTCTGTAATCCTAGCATAGGAGGGTAGAGACAACTGAATCCCCAGAACTCATTGATCTGCCAGTCTTGCTAGTCACCAAGCACTGGGACCAGTGAATACTCTGTCTCAAAAACAGTAAGTGTGCCCTTCCGAAAAGGCTCAGGGATCATGTTGGAAGATGGCAGGAAGACTGTAAGAGCCAGAGGCAGTGGGTGACTACAGCGAAAAAGTGTGTTCTGGACACAACAGGGCAGATGCACATATGAACTCATGGCAGTTGTGACAGCATGCACAAAACATTTGAACTTGAACCTCAAGCTGGACACAAATCTCAGCATGGAGGAGGGAGGTGGGCACTAAGCCCCAACCCTAGCTGGGAGCTATTGGCAGTTGGTAGCTGCTGGAGAGGGAGAGTCCGTTTTCATTAAGGATGTGGCCCTGGTAGATTGACTGAGGGAGAGTGAGGGGATCTGAGGCTGATCAGAGGAGAGGGGGCCTTTGAAAACACAGGGCCTGGTGTTGCTCACAGGCACTTCTTATTCCTCCATGGGCTTTTAACAGGTCTGCAAAGGTGGCAAGAACTGTTGCCAATTACCAGCCCTCCACTGGTCAGAAGAATTGTTGCAAACACTCAGAATTTTTAAAGCTTGCTGGAGGCAAGAAGGGAATTTGTCCAGGGAGTTAGTATAGCAGGCCACATCAGTGAGGGAGGACTCTCAGCTCTGGGGACCACCAACCATCAGGGAGCTGTCAGCATGTAACAATAGGGTTTACAATTTCTTTCTCTGGTCAGTGTTTCCCTATTCTTAGCTCCCGTCCCTTGGTTCTGACCTCCAGCATCCTGCTCTTGCCCTAGAGCCTTGGATCTGGGGAATCCTTTCCCCACTCTCTGCTTTGATACTTTCACTCCACGTCATCACAGGATCTTTCTGATCCCCCTGGTCCCTAGGTGGGGATGGGAGTGTGAGTGAACATTGAGTAAATTTCTTTTCACCCACTGTTCACTTATTGTGGGACAATGAGTCATTGGGAGGTCTGCTAGAGTGCCCTTTGAACATTCTTTCCTTGGTCCCTCCTCAGGTGAGCAGGAGCTAGGCTTCACCCTGCAGAAGCTCTGCAGGTTAAGTCCTGACAGTCCAGGCACATGGAGACATTAGTGAGCTACCTGGTAACCACTGTGTGCAGAGGAATCTGTTGCTCTCAGCCTCCCTTGTTCTCTACCCAAGCGTCCCACCATGCCTGCAAGGTGCTAGACTTGATCATGAGAGGGGAAGTGGCCACATCTAAGCCTAGGGGACCTCAGCAACTTGCTTGGATTTTAAAAGGGTTCTGCTCTTCATGAGGCTTTTTTTCTCATAGGTGGTTGTGAGGACCAGGTGTGATTTTACACTGTCACTACTGACCCTGGGCCTGACCCTTCAAAGTGACCTGACCAGGAATGGGGTACCCTACTTTGTGAAATTTACCTTCCCTTAGAAGTACTGTGTCGAGCTCTAAGTGTCTTAGTCCTTGGGAAAATTCCTTTCTCACTTGTGGAAGATTCCAGTCCTCATCCAGAGTATAGGGGATAAATGTAGGGAGAGAAATTCCTATCACCAAAATGCCGGTGCCAACTGAGAAACCAGGGAGAAACAGTTTGGAACCGGCATTACGTGAAAGTCTTTGACAACGTGCTCATCTCCAGGCCCTCCACTTAGAACTCAGAGAGCAGCACAGACAAAATCCCACCCACCCCAGCCAGTTTCTATTCCTGTCCAGATGCAACCAGCCCCTCTAGATCTCCTGGCAGGTGGGGGACCCATGGACTCAGGGGTGGCATAATTCTGTATCAATAGAGGTATGCATCCTTCCATTCTGACTGTGAGAAAGACCAGCAAACAAAGAATTAAGTGGGCTTCAGGTGAAGAGGGAAGTAAGCTTTAATGTGCTCCAGGATATTTGGGGAATAGTGTTAGGGATTCAGCTACTGCCAAACAGCCTTCTATTGGGATTTCTACTACAGTGATGAAGCCTGGATCTTCACCTCCAAGGGGAGAAAATCAGAGATCTTGAATGGGTTCCTCAGTTCTGAGAACAGAGGGAAGGAGAGCAGCTAAAAGATCGCCCCTGTGAGAATCCACAGCCCAGCCCAACCAGTCCATGTACTAGAGACTGCACAGAAAGTGTCGGCACCCCTCTACACATGGCCCCCACACATCTGACCACCATGCTCTGCTGCATGTCGACAGGTCAGCCTGTACAGAGATTCTTTTACTGCCAGGCCCGTGAGGCTCTCTGCAGTGTGTTAAATATTTGCTCCAAAAATATTTAAAGAAATCTGAACAATGAGTAAGATTGATACAATGAAACTTACAATGCATTGCTGAAAAAAAGAATGAATGCAGAGATGCCAAGTTCCTTGATTAAAAGATGTAATATTTTTAATTTGGTTGTGCTATATACATGGTTTTAGACACACCTAGTTTATATGTATAGTGTATCAACCTACATTGAAAGTGAGAAAATTCATATAACTTATTAGTATATAGTGACATTTGCTGGTTTTTATTTTATTGTTGTTAACCTCTTTCTGTGCCTGATTTTTATCTTAAACTTTATTGTAGATAAGTGTGTACAGGAAAAATATACTACATATGGCATTTAGTACACTTTGGAGTCTCTTCATGGACTATGATGCCATTGTGTCTACTCTTAATTTACAAAACAATATGAGGGGCTGTTACTTAGGGATTACTGAACCTAAACTCAAGACCTGGATCCAACTTCTGGTTTTTTTCTCAGTCCTTTGTAGTCTCTCTTTATATGGAAGACCAGGAAACCAGGATGACATGCCCTAAGGCAAGGTGGACCTGAAACTTTAAGATCAGGCTACAATTTCTGCTGAAGGGGGAGGGGCACTGAATACAATGCCCTCAAATCTCCGTCTTGCACAACACTGCTTGTCTAGCAAGAGAAAAGTGGCCGGATCAAAAATTTAAGCTCCTTGGTCTGAGGGAACGCATCTTGGTCACCAGCCCTTAGCCCACCTCCTTGTTCTGAACAAATAAATCTTACCTCTCACTAGCAAAAAGAATAGGCCAGGTTAAAAGTTCACTCCTGGGCTAAAAGTCAAAAGCTAGCTATGTTCAAGTAACCTTGAGGAAAGTCAAACACCCTGCTTTACAAACAGCCCTTAGCTGGTGCCGACTAAAATCTATATGTCCTGCTTCTCATCTAATTGTGCCCTAAATGTTTGTATGCAACTGCCAAACCCCATGTGACTGCTAGTTCCTTGTATTGTATAAAAACTTACTAAAGTTTGCAATAAAGTTGACTTGCTCCAAAGAGACTAAATTCCCAGGGCCAGGCCCTGTGCCTCCAATCTCACTGTCCTGGAACAAGGCCCCCCATAGTGTAAACTACTGCATGTAAGAAGAAGGCATGGGTCCACACCTATAAAATGTGACATAATAGCATGTAGGCCCCTGAAAGAGATCAAGGTTAACCTTGTGGATCCTTGTCCTGTATGCAGGAGAGCTGGTAGATGACAGTGGTATTTTCTGGAGCAGAATGATGGGAGACACAGATGTGCTGGTCATCAAATTCTCATTGGCAGGCGGTATGGGACTGACCTAATGATTACTCCTCTGGGATACCCCTCTCTCAACCTGTGCTGCGCTCCCAATAAAATTGAATGATCCCATTGTAGGCTGTAGGTACAGAGCAGAACAAATGCAAAAGTGCTGGTGACCTGCTTCCCGGAGCCCAATGGGAGGCACCTGCTAGTCTGGTGTTATTAGACCTCATCAGCTCCCCCTAACTCTGAAGAAAAGCAGGCAAAATAAACATGCTCTAGAAATATTACATTTGTTTATTTATTCCGTGTACGTGTGTGCATTTTGTCATTGTGTGACACTATTCCTGGTGAGACACCTCAAGGGAACTGACAACAGACCAAAGTAAAGCCTACTTGGTGAACCAATGAGTTTTATTGCAATTACTTACAGAATTATGGATGAAAGTTTACTTGCAATGAGCAGAAATAACCCAAAGACAGATGCATCATGAAAAGCCTACCCCAGCATTTATGACGACTCACAAAACCTTTAAACCTGGGACTCACCGTGCAGCTTGCAGGCAGCTCGACAAGCTGGAGGGTGTCTCTTCTTGGAAGCTCAGGTGGTTAGGGCCTTGTCCAAGCACCTTGGCTTGTCTGTCTGTCAGCAGTCCTTACTCTTTATGTAAGTTTGTGGAAGGAAGGAACTGGAGAATCTGGTCAATTTCAGGAACTTTCTGAAGCTTTTGTGTTGTTTACTTCATGAACTTAAAGAGTGCCCCTCCAGGATGGGTTGTGCCACCTCCCTTTTGGCCTACCCATCTTAGTGAGCTTCCCTCCAAATGGAATGCTTTTTTTCTCTGAGGGAACTTCTATAAATACGTGTCCCCATTTTCCAGCCCTTACAGTCTTTCTACCTCCTGTTCTGTGATATTCCCTGAGCCTTGGAGGGGGTGATAAACATGTCTGTCTAAGGCCAATCTTTGGGCTACTATGCCACTTTTTCTCGAGAGCTTGACTGCTGGGGGTGAGTCTCTGGGGATACACATCATTAGTAAAAGAAGTTTCTTTAGTGACCGGTTGTAGTTGACAAGAATGATCTATGGGCATAAACACAAAGCTTAAAAGTGCGTGTGATGGCCACATGACCTCAATTTAATAAAACAATAGAAGTTGCTTTCCACTGGGACTAATAACATCCAAAGTCACAGGTTTCTGTCCTGGCTTACAGTAAACTTGGTAACAGGGGCACAACCTTGGCTTTAAACCTAGTGAAGGTGTGCGTCATTGACTTTAAACCTACTAATAGTGACATACCGCTGGCTTTAAACCTAGGCTGTGGTTCACTGTTGTCTTTAACCCTGTTACCATGGTGCAGCCTATGGCTTTAAAAATATCTAATAATTATGCATTAATACCTTTAAGCCAAAGACAGCGGTGTACCACTGGCCTTAAATCTAGTAACAGTGGTGGATTTCCTTTTCACTCATTTTCTTGAAATGGCTTTTCCACCTTCACTTTCAAAATTTTGTGTCGTTTTGTTCTACGTGTCTTTCTCAAAGCCTTTAGATGTTTCTTCATTATAACAACTTTTGTGCCATATGGACAACATACAAGTTTAAGATGGATTTCTAAATATTATTTCCAGCTCCGTACTAACCTGAACTTACTTCTGTCCCTTCTTCCTTTCTGTTCCCTTCTTCTAGTTTTCCAATCCTTTTAAAAATATACTCTGATTTTCTTTCAACAAGTTAGAAACTTAACTATTACATTCATTTTGAATTAGTAATCTAAAATTAAGCTATGAAAACTTTTGTCATTGTTGTTTGAGACAGGATCTCCTATAGCCTCAGCAGGCCTGGAACTTGTTATGGTGACCAGGCTGACCTTGAACTCACAGAGAGTTCCCAAGTGCTGGGAATAAAGGACTTCTCAATGGTGGCCAGCTCATATGGAATTTTGATGCCTGGTGAGGGTCCTTCTGTGTTTTTATTCCTAAAGCAAAGGCGTCCTGTGCTTCACTTTGAGTGATCAGAGATTGGCCTCATGTTGTTACCCAGTTAGCTAATTCCAAATGGTGCAGCTGAAAAACAAAATGCAGCTTTTGAAAACAAGGTTTGCGATCTTGAGTGCAGATTTAATCTTAGAAAAATGCTGACTAGGGAGGGAATTTTTCCAGATGGTGTTTTTACAAGTTTCTTTAAAGATAGAGCTTTCTTTGTCTTATTTAATCCTTTGATTACAAAAGAGTACCTTTTATTCACACTTCCCACACTGTCCCAGTGAGACCCAGGAGAAACACACCGTCAAACACCTCCAGTCTCCCACAACTGGCCAACTCTTTCCTGAGTTCTATAATACAAGCTCTCTCCTCTACTCCCACTACTTCCTATAGGACCCAACTCAATTTAGACCTTTTTCTTCAGGGAAATCTCTTAGACTACTCTGGGGCCTAGGTCATTGCTTACTTTGAGTTAAAGCCCCAGTTTCTACTTCCACACAGGCAGCCAGATGTGGTGATGGTACTGTGTTGGGGGCCTGCTCACTGTCTTCTCATATTCCTCATATTCCTCTGTTGTAAGGACCTGACTCCCTCCACCAGGGCTCCTCTGCCCCGGCTGGGTCTAAGACATCACAATCTCTTGACTCTCCTGCAGTGCTTCCTCTTGAGAGCTGTCCTTTATATTTCAGGCATCTCTGACCTACTTACTCCAGTCATAAACAGAATAGGAACTTTGCCTAATCTATTTTACTGTTGGCTATGTCCACAAGGAGACTCAATGCTGACAGATGAGGTGGTTCTCTGGGCCACAGAAGACTTAATACCTTTGGCCAATTCTACCTATTCCACAGTTAGACATGATAAAATAGGAAGCCCTCAGCATATAAGGCCCCAGTGGTAACAGCCCACCCCAACAGAAAATGTAGATAGGGCCCAGGT